TCCACTCCAAGATTATAGCGGAGGCACAGCACCATTTCCATACAAGGCACTACCATCACTTCCTGGGCTGGGTTCAATGTGGGCACCTCAAGGTCTGGGACAAGGTGAGTGCAGGGAGGCTCACTAGTCGCTGAAGAATGAGTTGGGATGCTGCTCAGTCCCTTCCCATACACAGTCTATAGGTTTGAGCTCAAGTCAAGAAGTGTGGGGGTTGGTTCCTAACTACAGGTTGTAAGTCAGACGTTTGTAACCCAGGGACTGCCTATATCCAACTTTCAGATGCACATGAGATGACTGAAAAGACCATGGCTTGGATCAGATGCACCATAGTCATCAAAGTGACATCTTTGCTGGTTAAAAGTTTAAACTTTTGCAGGAGATTTGGCCAATTCTATATATCATTTGATTTCTTGATTGCTGCTTCTATATGAAGCACAGTCACATGTGATTAAATCAGTTGGCCTTAAGTAAAGCAGATTACACTCCATAACTCCGTAATGTGGGTTGGCCTTATCCAATCAGTTGAAGGCCTTAAGAGCAAAAAGGGAGTTTTCCCTAAGGTGTATTCTGCCATCAGACAATAGACATTTTGCCAGAACTCCCTCACACATCACTCTTCCCAACACCTGACTTGTGGTTTGGTATACAACACTGCAGGAATTACCAACCTATACAGTGACCCACAATCAAAGATATTATCAATTCACGTGATAAAGAGAAAACATCATTAATGAGATATCTTGGATTTTTTCATACATCTTGTTGCTGTTAGTTGTCATCAAGTCAATTGTGACTCTTGGCAACCTCATGTGTACAGAGTAGAACTGCTTTGTAGGGCTTTCAAGGCTGTGACCTTTTGGAAGCGTATTGCCAGGTCTGTCTTCCAAGCAGTAGTCAAGTACTTAACTGTTTGTGCCACTCAAGGACTTTTTGCAAATTAAGTATTTGAAATTCAGTGCATATTTTATACCTACAGCATATCTCAATTTAGACTACTCACATTTCAAGTATTCAATAAGTGCTTATGGCTAGTGGCTATAATATTGTTCTAACATTACCACAAATGTCATGCTATCTAAAACTGAATTCATTATTTTTTTTTACCTTAAATCTGACCCTAATATATTCTCCATAATGGTGAATAACAATGTCTACATAAACATGGAACACAGACATAATCTCAGATTTCTTCACTTCCTTATCTGCTATAATCAACCGTATTAGTTACCTAATGCTGCTGTAACAAAAATACCACAAGTGGTTGGCTTTAAAGAACAGAAATTGTCTCACAGTTCTGGATGCTAAAAGCCCATATTTCTACTAACAGTGTCTTCAAAGCAATCTAAGCTGTTACTATCAAGTACATCAAAATTCTTCCAGCCTCTACCCATTACCTAATTTTTGACATTTTAGGTATTTATGCTAGTACAACACCCAAATCCTCTGGTACCAAATTCTGTCCTAGTTACTTAGTGCGGCTGTAACACAAATACCACAAGTAGGCAGCTTTAAAAAATAGAAACATATTGTCTCATAGCTGTGAAGGCTAAGTCCAAATGAGGGTCTCAGCTCTGTAGATTTCTTCATCAGTGGCCCTTTAGTGTTGCTTGGTTCCTTGTGTTCCTTGTCTTGTAGATGAAACTTACAAGAGCTCTGTCTTCCCCTGTATCTGAAACTGAATAAAGTAAAAACTATTTTCCCCACCCTGGTACCTGGATGGGAATAGATAAGTAAACTAAATTATCCCCAACTATTTTCCCACTGGCAGATGAGTATTCAGTCCCTTAAAGAACTGAATGGAAAACATTCTTTCCTGCAGGTGACAGACTGCTAAAAGTATCTTAGAAACAACTTGTAAATTAACTCTGGCCCCAGGACATGCACAATAGGGCAGAAAGGAACAAGAGTTAATGGGAACTAACCCTCTCCCCTCTGCCAAGCCCCTATCAGCTGATAACAGGAGACTCATCTGCCTCCAGGCACAATCCTCATCCACTTCACACCCAAATTCTTCAACCTTTTGTAAATATGCACAACCCCCTCTCCTGAAACCTACAAAAACTGTATTTCATGGCATCTCAGGGAGTCAGATCTGGGTACTGAACTACCCCTACTCCTTGCATTGCTGCTTTGCAATAAATAATTTTCTCTCCTCCGTATCTCGGTATGTAAACTGCTTTGGCCTGAACTGTGTACTGGATGCATTTGGTCCGATAACATGTCTCTGTGACTATTCTGGTTTTTTATAACTCAGAAGTGATTAGGTTTAGGATCTATCCTACACCTGTATCAGATCTTTAACACAACTAAAGAAAAATCCTATTTCCAAATAGGATAGCACACACAGGTACAGAGGTCAGGAATCCAACATGTATTTCGGGGGGAACCAATTCAATCCATAACACTAATCATTTACTAACATCTTATGCATTCTACTTCCTAAATATCCCTCATAACTCTATATTGTGATACCTTGTTTGTAACTATTTGACCACTAAACTGTAAGAAATTTCATTAACTTGGGGAACATGTTTATTTCTTTTTAGTGTCTTCACTACTTCTACTGTACCAGACACACAGTTGTTGTTGTTGTTATGTGCCGTCGAGTCGGCCCCGACTCATAGCGACCCCTCCTTGGGTTTCCGAGGCAGTATCACTACGGAAGTAGGATTGCCCAACCTTCCTTCCGAGGAGTGGCAGGTGGGTTTGAACCGCCAGCCGTCTGGTTAGCAGGCTAGTGTCTTAGCCACTATGCTACCAGAGCTCCCAGTAGATACCCATTAACCATTGCTATGTGAAGAAAATAAAGGATAGCAGAATCAAAAGTTTTCTGAAGCAACTGAGCACTAAATCTCAGAAAAGTCAGAAGAGAACTAGAAGTCATAAGAATTAAATTACAGAAATGACAAAATCATAATGTCAATAAATTAAAATTAAAATCCAATAAATTAAAAGAAAAACCAATAAATTAAAGTCCAAATAAAATAAAAAGTATTAGGCACTAATTGTATTTACAGTAACAATTAAGATAACTTTAAATATGACAAAATTTCATAAGTAACCAAATTTTCATTCATTACATTTGTACTTTAACAGGATATACCATATAATATATTCTACCTTTACGTTCACATTCAGATTCCTTACTAAAATATTTGATTGGGCAATCCTACTTCCATAGAGATACTGCCTCGGAAACCCAAGGAGGGGTCGCTATGAGTCGGGGCCGACTCGACGGCAAATAGCAACAACAACAACAACAAACTAAAATATTTTACTTACTTTATACTAAATAATTTTGTTCAGAAACATCACATAAAGCTTCACACATTGTTTGGCAAAGTTAATTTTAACAGATCACAGACTTACAGACTGATAGATTTTAAAGACATCTTAGAGATCATCTGGTCCAATTCCTTCATCTTATAGATGAGGAACTGAGGATTGGAGAATTGAAATGATTTGCTAAAGATACAGAAGAGGTTAGCGATCGATCTGATTTAGTTAATATTCTGTTTATGAGCAGATACTGCTATGATTTGTGTGATTTAAAAAAAAAAATAATTAAAACAAGTCAATGACTACCATTCTACTTCATTGAAAACCGTTAGCAGGATCAATGTCTATTGTACTCCTAAGCTACACAGGAATACAATCATGTGTTAAAATTCTTTATCTAAAACAACAAATTGAAATTCCATTTAAGAAAAATCCAAATAACTAAAAAACAAGTAAGTTAAGAATTTGCAGGAAGAGCAAAGGATGAGAGGACAGAAGAAAGCAAATTATTTGCATTTAAATAAGTAATTTGGATTTCTTCAGGTTTTTCAAACTCTTAATAGACAATAGCTAGACCCACTGAAATTTAAAGTCAAGTCTTGGTAAGTTTAAGAAGAATCACGAACGAATATCAAAGCAAAAATACAATACGATATATAACAATTTTTTATAAGAAATTTTTAAGAATAACAGCAATGGTACAAATTTAATGTGTTTAAAATTATTAATCTGACTAAACAAAGCTCATTTTAAGAGATTCTAAAAAATATGAAGAACAAAATCAAAGTAATTCCAAAATAAACATGCTTGGAAATTTTAAAATTACTGTGCTTTTAGGCAGATATCCCATGCATTCTGTATTTGTTTGCAGTCCACACCTTCCTCCCTCAAGGTATTTTTCTAAACATCGCTATGCAAATTTTCTTTACAGTAAAATATTTTAAAAATTGCCATAGCAGTACTTAAGAAAATACCTCATGGGGGAGGGTACAGCAAACAAACGTTAAGATTTAAATCAGCTAAATTAAGTGCATACTGGAATTCCTGCAAACTGTCATTATAAGACTTGTCATTATTTCTGGAAGGAAAAAGGTAGTAACTGAAAAAGTACTTTTAATCAAATGCTTTAAAATTTTAGGTATTTAGACTTCAAGTCTACACCTATTTTTTCCCCCATAGAACAGAAATTTTTATTAGGGTCTAATTCACAAAATCTTCAGCATTACTCAAGAATAATAGCTTGGCCTACAATCAAACCTAAAGACACAGTAAGTTAATTAATATGGCGCAAGAAGTAACAGCATAGCTCAGAAAGAGTTAAAACATGTATTTTAAAGCATAAAACAAATAGGATTTAGAAAGTAAAGATCTCCATCATCTGCTATGATTGTTTCTGCTTAATAGTAACAACGTTAGTATTCTATTGCCCCGAAAACTAAGATTCTCCCTCCAAAACTATTTCAAATCCATACCTAATAACTCTTAAATATTTTCCTTAATCAAATGAAATTAAGATGAAGGAAATTTCTACTAGCACAACAGGGATTATTCTTATAACTAATAGTCATATAATTACAAATTACACTTTGCACATGTAGTTAAAAGTTGGGAAAGAATTATCAGTCCATTGAGTATAATCTAACATATTAAGTCTTGAACCACTAATCTGAAATTAAAGAAAAAGTCTTAGAGCATTAAAATCCCACACCTGAAAGACTTACCATTTTATCTAGATGTTCAATGGATCTATAAATCTCCCCCTGGGATTCATCATAGTAACTGTAACGGAACCTTTGACCTTGAAACAAATATCATGTACAAAATAAAATAGGGAAAAATTAGAAGCTAAAAGAAAGCAAGTGCTTACCAAATAATTTCAATTCTCGTGAAAGGCAAAGCACAGCTTAAGCCTCTGAGAGAATCAATCCCAGGAACTCTCGTATATAAAATAAAAGGCATATTTGGGAAAGTAATAAAGAAATTATATAAGACCACAGTGTTTGATGTTTTATGTTAAAAAACTATTTCAAGTTATAGAACCTTAGCGTCATCAGCAATACGAGAGATTAAGGAAATGAAACAGCTTATAAAGTTAGAAGCGTTGTTAAACATATTATACCAGTCTATTATAAAAAGTAAACCCAAAGAATATGATTCAAGGAAATTTCTCTTAAGGAAATTATCTCAGTATAACAAATTATTAAAAGCTTATTAGCTTTTGCTGCACAGATGCAAAGATTTTTATCTTTATTACAGAAAGAACACACAGGTCAAGAATACATGTGGCTTATGTGATTTTTATGACCTTGATTTAAAAAAGTAATCTTTCTTGCAAAATTTTCTGTTTGGAAATATCAGTACAACTACCTTATGTGGTATGAAGATGATGCATGAAAGGATAAATATAATAGTCCTACACTGACATAAAATCTCAAAATAAGGGTACAAGCTCAGAACATTCAATGTTTACCTATTCTGCAAAGAACAGAAAGTATAAAATGGAGGAAGCCTCAAAAGAAGACAGAGAAATCAAAAGGCTCATAAAATAGATTGTTTCTTACTATAATCATAAGAAAACCAGAAGTTAAACATATTCAGAACTAATTATGGATTGTTATTGAACTAAGACGGATTTCAGAAACACCTAAAACTATCTTTCAGTAAGGTTTTTTCCCCTAAGAAATTTCCTAATTTTTAAAGATTGACCAAAACCCATTTCTAAAGGTATTAGAATATATAAATCATGTGCACACAGTATATATCTTATTTAGAGCAATGTTCATATATCTGAACTACTATGCTCACACATTTGAGTAAATGGGTTTGAGTCAATAATCAGGATCCTTAAGTTTTTGTTCATCTTACTAAGGCAATCTGCCTTTGAGAAAAACCATGTATATGATTCAAGGAAATTTCTCTTAAGGAATGAAGTGTTAAGTATCACAGAACTTAACACGTTATTCATTTGTTGATGCTGGTCATCTTTGATGGTAACTTTTCTAAAACATACCCTATTTCCTTGACTTTCACATTTCAACTTTTCACACACAATTAATATATACAATTATTCAATGTGGCAGTCCTTACTTTCCCTCCAAGAGCTATTATGAAATCAATATAACATAATACAGTTGATGGTATCTTAGAATCAAGCAATAGGATTCTGAGGTTGCTTCTGCTTTCTGAATATAATTAAACCTTTTTATAGACATTATAAAGTATTGCCGTTTTCTTAGCTATGAGATCCACTACAATCCTTGAACTAAAAAAAAAATTGTTAGAGATGACAGTGACAATCATCATTCAATGCCCACACAATAAATAATTTTAAGAGTTCCTTTCTTTCAAAATATACTTAGGTATAGCACTGTTTTTCCTCAAAGAACGTATTGCGTATGTACATACTTCTTTCTATCAAATAAAGTAAACTGGATATAATTGATGCTATAATTGAAACTATATGTAATTGATGGCTGCCAGAGGCTCAAAGCCAAATCTAAAGTTCTATCATAGCAACTTACTGACTCAATTCATTGATACTAAATTTCTAGTTCTATTCAAAAGTTCTTTTGATAAAAGCTTCTCAGATTTTTTTGTAAAATGAATGAACAATTAAATGAAAGATCTTAGACAAGAAAATTCTGACTTACTGTACTAACAGTAATATCCTTGTAGGAAATCAAGATGTATATTCTTTGAACTGAACTGCTTTGGGTTTATACTAATATATTTTCTTTTCCCTGATTCTGGAAAGAGCTATCAGTTTTAGCCATTTTCAATAAGCTCTGTGATTAGAACTGAACTGACCTATTTGAATATTGCTACTCCCAGATGCAGAAAAAAGTTCATCAACATTATAATAACTATTTGCTACTCAAAAATCCATTCTGCTTATTTCCAAGTTCAAAGCTGCTGTTTCAAACAGCTGAAGTTGTCAAGTCTACCTTAATAGTAATGTATAACTATATTTTAAAATGCTGTATTGTTCGTATGGACCAAAAGTTCAGCATAGCTTTTACTTTAAAATTGCTTCTGAACAAATAGGAAAGTCATGGGAACTTTTGGAATAGTCAGACAAGGGAAGGTCTGAAATATTTTAAAATATTGAAATTCACAGGAAATCAATTTGAGCAAATGTTTAACATTTTGCTATATATATTTTTAGCTACTTTTCAGTATCCACCTCACATTTAGCAGCAGAATTGAGTATAAATATCTGAACAATGTATCTGTTAAGAAAGTAAATCCACACTAAATACAGCTACTATACCAAAAAAAGTTTACTTATAATAGCTCAACAACTGTCTCATAATTTTTAAAACTCTACAAATATTTAAAAATTACTTGAGCAATGAGTTCTGTTCATTATACATCCAGAAAGCAAATAATTTGAAGTAAATAGCTGTCATCATCCAAGCCCTCCCTCCATACACACACATAGCTTCAGTTAAATGCTTGGAATTTGAGTTCAAAAAACTTACTTGTTTCATACTATTAAAAAAATAACTTTACCAAGATTTTATTTAATAAGAAGGGAAATGACAGAAGTAGCACAATACAATGATCATAAATGCTATCTTAATTACATATTTATTGCCAATATAAAATTATTTCACATACCTCACAAGCAGATATTACTTGTTTTTTAAGTTTTTATATTTCTAACATTCAGTCAAATTTATGAAATCTAAACTGTGAATAAACACAGTTGCCTTAGTTCTTGAAGAACTGAACTTGTGTATTTTTGTAAGTATGAATAAAGCATATCACATAGTAAGAGAAAATTACTTACCTGAAATTTATCCTTTCAGAAGGTACACTGGGAAAATGGATTCTTTGAGCCCCTGTTTCAACTCCAAGTATGAGCTTTCTAGTTTTAAGAGCCATTGATACTGCCCCTAGGGACAGCACAAGCTTTGGAACTCCCCTAGTGAGTATGTCAGTAGTTTCTTCAGGTGCCTTCCCTCAGTTCTTTTCAAATTCAAAAGATGAGAGGAAAAATAACCCAAGAAAAAAAAATCCTGTAAAGCAGAAACCTTACTCTTTGAGGAAAGGAGGGTAGCTCATTTGTGAATCCATTCCAGAGCACGCTTTCTGAGAAAAAGAAATACAGGTAAGTAATTTTCCCATCTCCAAAGGTGACTGGTGATTAATGAGTGGATTCACAGAGTGTGGAGAATAAGCTCCAGGGATGTCTGTTTAACACACAACAATCAACTAATGAAGACAAACATAACAATGAATGGTACAAAAACCAACACTACTTTTTGAGTACCTGCAAAAAGTTTAT